CATTATTAGCACTCTTCACATATGACCCCATCCTTAATATTTTTTAGAAGATACATATTATAATAATTACTTTCAATTGTGAATTGTTCTTTTGTTATAATTATTGGTAGTTTTCATCACTAATATCTTTAGGAAACTACATATTGTAATGTTATCACTAATTGTCCATATCATTACTTAGGTTTTTCTTTGTTTCTAACTTATGTTTTTTCTATTTTAACATTTTCAAGAAATATGCTAATAGATTTTAATTAAAGAAAAACTATCATCAAACTAATTAACATATAGTAATTGATGCCCTGAAAAATATTGGAGACACTTATTATATTTTTTATAATTGATATTACTAAAAGTTTTAACTGAAAATAACAATTTCAAGAAATATATCAAAATTAACTAAACGAGCATTCTTTGCAAGCCAGTCGGCTTTTGAGTTGAGTCTGTGGGAGGTGTGAGATGGAGAAACCCGATAATTCTTCTTTTAGCTTCATGAGTTCTTCAAGCTGAAATGTGAACAATGGCCATTCTAATGGTATACACACCATATTTACTAGGTCAGAACCAACTTTTGTGAAAGCTATTTCGAACTACGAGTGAAGAGGTGGATGACTTTGTAAGTTTCTAGCTCTATTAAGTGTCATCGTCTTCAAAAACATACCATCGAGGCCCTGAATAAATGTCACAATTTTTTCAAGAATAATTTATGACATTATAAACCCTTATATTCAGAGATCCCCTTTGTTTGTCCACAAAGTTGAGAAGAGGGAATGGCCTCTGCCCATCGAGCAGTAAACCGAAGCCTCTTCTTCTGCTATCCATACAATATGGGCTGGCTCCAAATCCACATTAATAAACATCTTGTCGTTTCATATTTTTCCTGATATACAGATAATCGATGGGAAATTCAGTTCATGATCTCTAAGTGGCATTCACCGAAATAAAGAATCAATCTTAGTAAAGACCCTTGTTCTAAAAAACGACCACCTAGCCGATTACGCGCCCGCTTGGGCTCTCGGCGGTGCTCTACCGCCGCGATTATGACCTATTCGCTTGGATTAGTCGAACCTTGATAAACCGGTCACATAACCCGATTAATCGGCTTTAAAACCGATCTAGTCCGATTAATAAGGCATAAACAATATATTTGTGGCATATATTGGACATGAATTAAAAGCCCATTCGCAATTGTAAGAAATTAACAAATAGAAGACTATATAGATCAGCTCAGCGACTCTTTTCCTCTCCTTATCGATCTGGGACAAAGTCTTCGTC